TGTTTTGTCAATAAAACTTGTCATAAATACTGTATTCTGCTGTTTCATTCAGCATACCGACCTCATAGAACGTGCAAAGTGCAGTAGAAACTTTATACGTATCTCATTTCCGGCTGTAGGTTCCTTATATCAAAACGTTCAAAATTTCATCCTCTACAATCCCCAAATTTTTAAAATTCTGATACACCCTGTGTATGTATATACATATATTACAAACTTATTTCATTAGTAAAAGTGCATAGTTGCAAAATAATTCATTTTTATTGTTTGGGCTACAAACAGTTCAAATCCGCTACTTTTGGAGCACAACCACGCTACTTTTTAACCTTCAGATCCGGCGACACTGGGTTCCAGTCTGGGTTGAGATCCCGAAGAGGTAGGAGGTGAAAAAGTGAGTGCTCCTACAAGGAAAAGGTGATCTAAGACGAGAAAGTGCAGAGAGAGATCATCGAGGGAAGACAACTCAGTCCGAAAGAAAAAGACTATAGACGAAAGGTCTACAAGGAAAAGGTGATCTAAGACGAGAAAGTGCAGAGAGAGATCATCGAGGGAAGACGACTTAGTCCGAAGTTGTTCCCCACCAAAGGGCTCATCGCAAGAAACCCGGGTATTTCTACTACTTTCCTTATCTATCTTTATTTCTCCTATTCTTCCATTTTTAGTTTTAAGTTAGTGTAAGTTAGTATAAGTGAGTACGGTCCTCATCAGATTGTCGCGTTTGTGCAAGATAACTGCTTTTGAGGACAAATATCGAATGCCTGTATACATATTAAATTCTGGAAGTTGTAAAGTTGGGATCCTATGTAAAGAACCTGTTCAGAGAGAATAAAATAAAAATTACTTTGTATTAAGATTCATTTTGTACCATTTTGCTCGCGGGATCATGTACCTCTCATTACGAACACCACAAGAGATTGAAACAAATATAAATAACAAACAAAAATTATTGTGATATCTTCACAATGCTGAACTGAAATTTTTAATATATTTAATTTAAAACACAGTGGAATCTGCCAATGTGACCACCTCTCTAACTTGACCATCTTCCTATAGTAACCAATTTTATTTGGTCTGAAATTTACTCAATAGATTTTAGGGATACTTTTTCTTTGTGTAGTGAAAATCTGTTTATTGTAAAATGTGACCACTTTACAGAAAAAAGCTGGTGGATTGTGGGGTTTTTTTTACTGGCAACCCTCGTGGTATAGGCAAGAAGAAATTCTACTTGCAGCTCAATGTGAGGCTCTGGACAGGTCCGAACCCTCACTAAAATTCGCATTAAAATAATTGTTTTAGAAAGAAAAAAAATATATAGTAGTTAGAAATAGATTTTATTTTATGAAAATGCGATGCTAACTTTAAAACAATGGAAGAATGTAAGTCCGTCAACCAGTTCCGGTTGGAGATCGAATTAAACTTCGATTTTGACCTTTCCTGCGCCCCCGAAAGGTTTCGAATTGTCATCAGGTGAGGACGGGAAACCAATCGGAAAGGGGAATCTGAGAGAAAACAGATAAAACCCCAGAAATTCGAAGACACGAGGGCTTCTTCTCCCGAAAGTTCCAAGTGACGGACCTGTTGTTGTGTGTGTGTCTCGCACCCATCTTCGTCTCTGTTACGGTAAGATCTGGCAACACCAGAGAGAGCGCGGCACGTGCAAGACAGACGGCCATGTTTAATGTATGCGAGTGTAGATCGTCCGTTCCAAATAAACCCTGAATAAAGTATTCAGAGTAAGTGTTTGCATTCCTGTCTTACTGGGGGTCTTAAGTGCGTCACGGACGGCGTGGAAACACAAAGAAAACCATATAAAACAGTCTCCATCTCCTGACCTCGGATCGACATCTTTCCATCAACGGAAGTCGACCGCATCGTCCCGGAGTCGTCGAGACGTGATGGAATGGTTCATTCGCAAACAAGGGACACTCCTTCAAAATGGGACTATCTTGGAAAGGAGAGGAAGACCCAGAGGCCACAGCTGCCGCAGAACTTCCAGGATCACAGAAATCTTGTAAGCTTTTTTCGTGTTTAATAAACGGTTGTGTTGTTTGTAAACGAAGCATCTATCTCTGACTCAACTGCTTCCACATGTCGTTGATNATGAACTAGGGAAAATGGTCATATTGCCTGCTACATTCACAGGAAGCCCACGGCACATGCATGAATACGCACAAGATGCAATGACTTATGTTCGCGCATACGGCCGTCCGGATTTATTCATAACATTTACATGCAATCCTACGTGGGAAGAAATTAAAGATCTTCTGTTGCCTGGACAATCGTCTTCGGATCGCCATGACATCATTGCACGTGTGTTCAAACAAAAATTGAAATCTATGATGGATTTCATTGTCAAACATCATGTTTTTGGGGAGACACGCTGTTGGATGTATTCCATTGAATGGCAGAAACGAGGATTACCNGAACTTCCAGGATCACGGAAATCTTGTAAGCTTCTTTCGTGTTTAATAAACGGTTGTGTTGTTTGTAAACGAAG